ATGTCGCCCCTGGCATCTGCGGTGTGGCGAGCCGCGAGTGCACCTGGGAAACACGGAACTGGAGTCCTGGGTAGAGCAGGTGGCCCTCACAGCCGCAGGGACGATGACGGCCGGGTCTCCCAGTCAGCCCACCCTGCTTTTGTGGAGTCACTCAGTTCATCTTCACTTTTGTTCTGTTATTGTTATGGTTATTGTATTATTATTGTTATTGGACTGGAGATTGAGTCCAAGCCTTTTGCACGGAGCTACATCCCCAGCCATTTTTTATTTTTTATCTTGAGACAGGGTCTTGCTGAGTAGCCCAGGTTAGGCTTGCACTTGAAATCCTCCTGCCTCACCTTCCTGGAAAGCTGGGATTATAGGCGTGCGCCCTACCAGTATTTCACTCACTCTTAAAGTGAGGACTCGGGGGCTCCTGCAAGGCTGTGGGTCTGTCTGTGAGCCTCAGCCATGAGCGTGGCAGCTCTGAACCAATGAGCCGCCTGCCACTCGGATCAAGAGTCCATCCACGCTTGTGCTTTCGCGGAACCAACACGCTTGGTCTCAAAAATGTTTCTTTTGACTTTGAATGCAGGATGAGCAGTTACAAAGTAAAGCGATTTGAGAAAGCCTTCGGCTCGGAGAGGCTGTTTTCTTGGAAAGGAGTGAAGTGAGTCCGTCTGAGTCTGTGTGAGTGGCTGCTTCTGTTTGGGTGTGATGCTGGGCATGGGGCCTGGCGCCCCCGGCTGCACCCCGAACCCCTGCCATGATGCCATGCCCACCCCACCTGTTCTGGCTGACTTGGTGCCCAGGACTGTATCCTGCAGGCCGTCCTTGGTCAGGGAACCTTGAGCTCCCTGAATGTTTTCTTAGCAACCTGCAGCCTCTGGTCTGTGACTGGGCTGGGCTCCGTGCACCTGAGATCCATTTGGTACTGTCCAGGTGCGCGTATTTCCCCTGCCTGCTCTGCAAAGACGTCCTTTGTTCTTGGTGTTGTTTTGTCTTGATGGAGTCTCATTTACGTTGCACAGGCTGGCCTCAAAAGATCTTCCTGCCTCAGCCTGCCCAGTAGCTGGGCCTGCTTCCAGTTTAAAGTACTTTTTTTTTGTACCAGGGATAGAACTCAGGTCCTTGCACTTGCAAGGCAGGTGGTGGCACCACTGAGCTAAGCCCCAGCCAGGAGGAGGGGCGTCTGGGGTCTTTCTGTGCCATCCTCATGGGCACAGCAGCTCACCGGGCTGTGAGGTCCCAGGCCTCTGTGCAGCCCTGGGATGGGGCAGTGTCCCCATCCCGTACCTCGGAGCCTCCAGCAGGCAACGTCCTAGTCCTGTGCTGTGTTACCATGGCAATGTGACACCCTTTTAAGTGGTTGCCCAGACCAGTGTTTCAGGGGCCCCTGACAGGCTCCTCTCCCAGGCTGAGGACACCCACTTCAGACCCCTGCCCTGTGCAGAGGTCATGCAGTCTCCCTCCAGGTCCCGCATGGGTCCGAGTGCACAGGACACGGGAACCCCTGGGTGGAGCCGACAATTAGGTGTCCCGTGGGACAGCCAGCCTCACCTCATGCTGAGTCCCTGGGCTCCCTGCGGCCAGTGCCCTCTGTGAGAGCTGTGTCGGGAGGACGCTGGCGGCAGGCTGTCCTGGGCACCGTGTCGCAGCCTGAGGTGGGTGGACTCTGTCCCCGCTGTCAGCCAGGCGCAGAGCAGTGCCCCCGGGACAGCCCTGCAGGTGCCCAGCTCGGCCATGTGCCCGGTGCTTCCCAGGTGGGGTCTTGGAGCCGTTCTGGGCTGCGCCCACGCTGTGGCCTGGTGCCCTCGGCCTGTGCCTGACCCCTGCCCTCCCCAGCTTCGTGATGGTCAACAGTGTGGCCATGGAGGGTGACGGCTGTAACATCTGCGCCGCTGCCGAGGCTGAGCTCCTGGAGGTTTCACGCCGGCTGAACTGCTCTCGGGAGGTAAGGCCGTGGGCTCCCTGCTGTCCCTGCAGCGCCCTGTGTCGATGTGGGCGCCATGCACGGTGACATTGGCTCCTGACTGCAGGTGCCAGGCTCTGGGCTGTGTGGAGTGGGGCAGTGGCTGCCCCCGTCGGCCCCTGTCCTGCTGCAGGTGAGTGGGTGGGGCACAAGTCGGGTGCAGGTGGGGCATGGGTGGGACACCCCCTGACCCTGTTGGGTCCACAGCATTACCCACTGTACCGTGCCAGTGACGCCAACTGCTCTGGGCCAGATGCGGCTCCCCCGGAGGAGAGGACCGTCCCCTTCAGGGAGAGATATGACGCGCTGTCCCAGGAGGCCTCGCAGAAGGTGCGCCGCTCCCGTGGCCACACTGCCCTGGCCACACGTGACCCTCAGTCACCGTCAGGCTAGGCAGGCTTTGTTTCTTTGCTTTTTCAGTAGATCTGCTTTTCCTAATCCCAACTTGGTGATGTGCTCAACTCATTCTTACATTCAAGAATTTCCCACCAGCGAGGTGTGGGGGTTCACTCCTGTATTCCCGGCACTCAGGAGGCTGAGGCAGGAGGATCCCAAGTGAGAGCCTAGCCAGGACAACTTTTCGAGACCCTGTTTCAAAATGAAAAGTAAAAGCAGGGCTGGGGAAGTAGTTCAGTGTGTGGACTCTGGGTTCAATCCCCAGTTCTGGGAAAAAGAAAACACTGTCCATTGACATAATGGATTTGGAAGTATAAATGGAACTTAGAGTCCAATTTTTTTTTTTTTTTGGTACTGGGGATTGAACTCGGGTGCTTGCACTTGCAAGGCAGGCCACCGAACCGCTGAGCTAATCCCCGGCCCTAGAGTCAAATTTTTAGGGACTTAAAGAAAACTTGTTTTCTTGAAAATGCATATTTAAGAAGTATTTATATATACTAAAAATGAAATTTAAAACATTAATTTATATTTGAAATATATTTTTGGACTCTATTTAAAAGTTCATAATAATATTTTAAAAAATAAACTATAGTAACATAAAATCTGGGATGGGAAGAGAAGATTCTAGTAAAATACGATTTTGAGGGAAAAAAAGGAGCCTGTCCTGTGTGATTAGGATTGACTTCAGTGAGAGAACTGACCTGGCCAGTGATACACGCCCTTGTCCCTCATCCTGTGCTCACTGCTGCCGTCCCCCCGCGCCCCCGGCCCCTGTCCTGCGCTGACCACCCCATGTCCCTTGTCCCCGCCCCGTGTCCCGTCCCCACCCCGTGTCCACCCCATCCCTGTCCTGTGTCCCTGCTCCACGCTGACTGCTGCCATGTCCTTGTGTCCAGCTGCTGTGGTGGCTGCAGCCACGCCTGGTGCTGAGCGGCCACACGCACAGTGCCTGTGAGGTGCTGCACGGTGTGGGGACCCCCGAGCTCAGTGTGCCGTCCTTCAGCTGGAGGAACAGGAACAACCCCAGCTTTGTCATGGTAACTAACGCGATTTTATTTGTATGTGACAGCTTTCATACTATTCAAGCCAACACAGTAATCAACTGCTCACTCGTGCAGTCCGTGAGAACACACAAAAGCTGCAGGAAGTGACCGCCACTTGCTGAGAGGGGGCCAGGTCTCTGCAGCTGGGGACAGGACCCACGAGCCTGGCACTGCGTGAGGGCCGTGGGAGCTGTTACTGTCATTGCTTTCAGAAGCACCGCTTGCTCAGGCTGGGGCGGTGGTGGTGCCCAGGAAGACCCTGGGCCTGTGGTGCCTGTCCAGCCCTAGGCCCAGCTGGCTCCATGGCCCTGCGGTGCCGGACTCAGTAGGGGAGCCGCCTCGGTCCTCACAGAACGGAAACATCAGCTGCCGTCCTGGCTGCTCAGTGTCTGACCCTTGCTGGCTCGGTCCTGTGTCCCCCACTGTGCAGGACGCTGGGTCAGGGTGTGGTGGGTGCAGGGCATCAAAAGCCGGCGACCTTCCCACGGCCTGGGTCAGACTGCGTGTCCTTCCCTCTCCCCCAGGCCAGCCTGACGTCCCAGGACTTCGCCCTCTCCAAGTGCTTCCTCCCGCGGGAGGACACCGTCCTGGCCACCTACTGCGGGGTGGCGGGGCTGCTGGCCGTCCTCCTCCTGGCTCCCGGGGAGCGGCTGGCCTCGCTCTTCCTTTCTGGCTGGAACACGCTCAGGACGCACAGGGCCTGGTGAGGCGGGCAGCAGCTGTGCTTCACGAGGGACATCGAGGCCCAGACACTGCTTCCCAAGTCCTCGGAGAGCAACGTGCAGGCCCGTGTCATGGGAACCCAGCGTTGCGGTGGCGAGACTGCAGAGGGCACAGTTGGCTGCGCTGTTCTCAGGCTATAAAAATGGAACACGGACTCTACATACATCTCTTCTCCTGTGTCTATCGAACATATGGAGGGTCAGGCTGCGTCTGTATGAGGTGTGAAGCTGCTCACCGTCGTCTGCACGCAGGAGGCGGCCGGAGCGCCGGGCCTGCAGGGACACTGCTCTTCCGGCTTTGTACCTTTGGGCTAAACTGCTGGGCTCAGGTTCTACGTAAGTGTAATTCTCCGGGAGACTGGGGTGTTAGACCGGGTCTCAGCCGTCAAAGACCAAAACTTGGAAGAATGGACATCGGCTAGGGCTCCTAGTACTTAAAAATAAGTGGTGCAGTAATTTAAAGTCAGATAAGCTGTATTGTTTTCTCCCTTATGGGTCTAGCTCTTATTTTCATTGTTTTTTTTATTCATCTTTGGCGGTGCTGGGGACGGAGCACAGGCCTCAAGTGTGCTGAGAGACCAGGGCTGCCGCGCTGTACCCCGCCTGGTGCTGGTCCTTGAGTCGGGGGACAGAGGTGCATGGCATCTTTGAACATTTCTTCTTTTGGTGGAGGTACATTTTAGTTTTCTTCCAGTTCTGCTTTGAAAGAGCCAGAAGTGGGAGTCACTTCCATTCCCTGTCCCAGGCCAACTAAGAGGAGTCCAGTGCCATGGTGGGAGGCTGCGGCCCAGGGACGGGACGGGGTCAGCGTGGCTGGCCTGCCTGGAGAAGTGACATGTAAATCTGGGCGAGCTCGGAGAGGACTAGGACGTGCTGGTTTCACAGATGGCTCAGGCCAAGCAGGCGCCGTCTGCCCAGGACCACGCAGCTGGCCTAGGTCTCTGGGATTCTTGAGGCTGCATCTGTGAATCTTGCAGGAGTGAGAAATAGCCGGGTTTCTCTTTGTATTTCAGATAGGGTTTTGTGGGTCTGGGGACGCTGCTCAGGGTGGAGCACTTGCCTGGCATGCATGAGGCTCTGGGTTCCACCCCAGCACCTCAGCACAGCCAGGAAGGTTTCGTAAGGTTTCATCTTGAGAAGACAGTGGAGAGGCCCTTTCCCCTCCTGGGCATCGCGAAGGGCGACAGCCCTGCGCTCCCGCGGAGCACTCGTGCGGATGGTGGAGTCTGTGTGCAGCTCCGATGGAGCGGCCGCTGGCCTGTGCCTGCCCGGGAGCAGATGGGGCTGGAACCCGCACAGTGACCCAGGGCAGTGGAGCCTGCGGAGAAGGCCCCTGGCCCCCGGGGTCGGAGCTTGGGATTCTGCAGGGAGGCTTGGAGGACAGAGCAGGGGCTGCGACCATGTGGTGATGGTTAACACATGTCAGTTACGTATATTTTTTAAAAAAATCAAGAAGTATTTTATAAAGTATCAGCCGGATAAAAATGTCCCACCACCTAGGAATGCTGTTTGTTCCCCTTTTGGGAGCAAGCAGCAGGTCGCGTCAGCACGAAGCTCTCAGCACTACAACAGATTTCTTTCACAGGTATAGCTACCATCAAGGCACAAAAATCAACGAGGATTTTTGTTCAGTAGTGATACAAAATTTTGTGGTCTGTACAGTATAATGAACCAGTGATAAACCAACAACAAAAAGAATATGGGAGGAGACCGCATCCAAGCATCGGGAAGGCATAGGGTTGTTTTAGACAGGACACGTTTTCCAGGAGAACGTGGTGGCTTTCTGCCCAACTCGGAGGCCCCCAGAGGAGGGCGCTTTCCACCCGTCACTGCGCCCTGGCCAGTGGTGATGGGGGCAGTCACTGGTCAGCCTGTGGCTTTGTGATGGGAAACCAGAAGGGCCACGTGTTTCCCCTAGCCACTGAGTTCTCCAAGATGAATCAGTCACAAACCAGCAAGTCAGGGATCCCGAGGGCGAGATCCTGCCACGGAGCCACCCCAGAGCTTTGCTCTGCAGTGGCAGGGACTGGGTGGAAGAGCGGGGACGGCTGTGTTGAGTGGAAACAAAGCTACAGAACCAAACCTGGGGGACAGAGGTAGCCGGAGGCTTGGTGGTCACACACGGTTGCACTGGGGACAGGACAGACGGCAGCCAGTGACACTAGACACTACGTCCTACCACGACTGGGGCAGACGGATCTCAGTCCCGCGGACGCCCACCTCGGGGACTGGGTTCGGTGGGTGGGGCGGCGCTGCCCTCACAAGAGCTCGTACTGCTTGAGGTGCATGCGCTGGATGATGTCGCGACAGTCGTTGAAGACGCGGCGGATGTTCTCTGTGTCCACGGCGCAGGTGAAGTGGGGGTAGCAGTAGTGCTTGCCGTCACCAGTGGCCGTGCTGATCCTCTGCAAAAGAGGGGGTCGTGTGAGCCACGTGGCTCCCAGGCCTGGGGATGCTGGGACCGTGACTTCCCAGGACTTGAAGGGCGCGGTGGGGGTTGCCTGCACATGGGGTGTGTGCTGGGACCCTGGGACCCTTAATCCTGAGGCCGCCACTTCACCAGATGCATTGTCCCGCAGCGCAGTGCAGCGCACTTCTGGGTGTGTCTGGTGGGTATGGGCTGTGACCTCGGAGTCTCTCTGGCCCTTTCCTCTCTGACGCCATTCCGCTGCTCTGCTTCCTGGCTGCCGTGAACTAAGCACCTGGCCCACCACGGACTGATTCCCTGAAGCTGAATAAACCTCTGCGCCTCTGAGTTGTGGGTCTGCTGTTGTGTCCCAGTGACACGGGCAGCCTTGAGCTCGCCTTGCCCGTGCTCAGAGCTGCAGAGACGGTGAGCACGGCCTCAGCATGGACCTGGGCTGGGGGAAGAGCCAGGCTCGGGGCTCCTAGAGGCAGCCAGGGTTGAGCTCCATCATGTGTGTGAGGGCCCCTTAGAGCCACAGTCGTGGGAACAGGAAGCCACTGGAGTGGAGAGGATGTTGGGGCTGCAGCCGCACTGTGTCCCCGTCCTGGAGTCATGTGCCGTACCCTAATCCCAGTCCCTCGGGTGACTGAGGTGATTAAGGTTGAACGAGGCCACTGGGGTGATACCCATGCAGTGTGGGTGTCCATACAGGAAGAGGCGAGGACACAGGCCTGCGAGGACACGGTGAGAGGTCCTGCAGAGCTGGCCCTGGGTGCTGGTGTCGCTGGGCCCCCTGCCCTGCCAAACCCTGTTGGCCACAGACTCTGGGTGCTGCTGGGACCATGGGAAGGGTCCCGAGACAGTGATCCTGGGGTCGGCACTCCTTCTGGGGGCACTGAAAGCCTGCTTCTACCCATTCTCGGCACCGTGTGCCAAACGCTTCCCTGGGTGCGGCTGGAGGACACAGGCTGCTCCCTGTGACTGCAGGACCGGCCATCCCTGCCTGGAGCCACTGACTCAGCAGCAGGCTCAGTGCCCAGTTGGCTGCTGCGGTCTGCTGACTGCGCTCACATCTCGGACACCTGATTGTGCCCGGATGTCCACCGCAGGTGACAGAAATGGGCCTCGGGGAGCAGCACCGTGCCAGCCCTGGGCATCTGGGTTACTGGGCTGCTGCCTGAGCCCTGAGGCCTCTTGGGGCTGTGCCCAAGGTAAAAACGCTCGGGTGAGCTTTGAGATGCAAGGTGGACAGCAGGGATGCACAGGCCACTGAGTTGTCCCAGCTGCTGAGTGTCACTCACCATCAGGGGTGAGACGGCTTATGGTGACTGGAGGGGCCCTGGGCTGGCCCTGGCTGTCTGGCTCAACTGTCCCAGAAATGCCCATCTTCCCTGAGGGAAATCCCTGTGTTCAGTGCCCTCCGTACACGGTGGCTGTGAGGGGCCGCTGGGAGGCCACTGCCTGTCTCTGCCCAAACTCACCTCTCCCCCTTTGGGGATGGGCCCAGCTCTTTCAGGTGTGACCTTTATTCCCCCAAGTTGAGGTCCTGTCTGGATGAGTACTGACATCTGCACCCATACCCCATCCCCGACCCCACCCCACAGCTGCCTGGCTCCTCCTGAGCCCGGTTCTAATCTCTCCACGGCCCACACTGTGTCCTGCCAGGCAGATTCTCAGTGAGAGCCGGGCAGCACCTCCGTGCCCACAGTTTCTGACTGCCAAGTGCTCAGGGGCCGGCTTGGGCAGCAGCAGAGAGACAAGGTCTGTCCAGGTGCGGAGGCCCGTGTTCTGGCAGGCAAAGCTAAGTCTAAGCCGTGCCATCTGCCCAGCACCGGCATGCTCAGCTCGCCATGGGCTCTTGGGAACACCACCTACATCTGGGCACATGGCCTCACCAGAGCCAGCTCCCCACTGAGGCCCTTCCCAAGGCACGGCCTAGAGATGGGGGTCCTCAGTGTCCTGCCTGACTCTTCTCAGGACTCGGGCCTCGTTCCTTCTCACATGCAGGACCTGGCTGCTGCCTCATGTCCGAGGCGGAGGCCTTGACCCACGGCCAGCAGGCACCCCTGGCTGATGGCGGCCGCAGACCCTCCTTCCCCGGGGAAAGGTCCAGTGCGCCCGAGTCAGGGCCCTGAGGACCCGTGCCAGTGATGGGGTGCAACAAAGACGGACTCAGAGTGAGCAGCCACGCGTCGCTGGCAAGATCGTCACACAGAAGAAAATTTGCAGATGGGTGATGCAGACATGGGGAAATCTGGCCAATTGGTCAGGCTGTGGAAGCGATCAGTACAATTCTTTCACATTTTATGTAAGTCTTCAGCTATCTTAAAACACTGAAGAAAAGGAAAATGGCTTAGTTTGCAATGCTGCAGTTCCCGTTAGATTCACCTGTGGCAACTTTTGGGTGGCAGAAGTGGGCACCAAAGCACGAGTGCTGTGTGCTCAACTTGGCCCAAGCTGCCTCTGTCCCTCTGGACAGTCCCCTGGGACACATGTGGCTCGAGTGGGTGCCATCCTGGGGGAGGGTGGCACGGCTGGAGGCGGTGTGACTGGGGGACCCATCTAAGCTCTGTACCTGGATATGCTTGGTCACAACACCAAGGCTCACAGTTGTGCGAAAGATTCAGGGAGGCTGGGAAAAGCTAAGTCATTTGCAAGTTTCGTAACATAACACTATGGGGGCAGACAAAAGGCCCCAAAATCACTTACCAAAAACAGGTCCCGGATAAAGAATTTGGCTCTCGTAACCTTGGGATCCTCTCCTGCATCTGGTGTTGCTGTGGAAATTAAAAATGAAATTTCATTTAAGTGGCGTGAAACCAAGGTGTGACCATATGGAAACACAGCTACAAGTCAGAAGCTGTGTACTCAGGCTCCTCTTGGCCTCTGCCTCTGACAGATGTCAGCCAGGCTGGGCTCCATACCGAGCTCAAGGGGGTGAGATCGCTCTAGAAAGAGGCTCACAGAAGGTTCTGGAAAGCCAAGCTGCTACCAGACATGCAACAAGAGCTGTGCCCTCCTTTTCGTACCATACCACCCGGCCTTCCTGGGCTCCATCCACGTGGCCTGGAACCTAGGTGTCACCTTGCCCCGTGGAGGACAAGGCACTACCACCCAGGTTACCCGAGGGCGAGGGGAGGTACTGGCTGCCACAGAACCTTCCTGTGCCACGTGGCATGAAGGGGACATCAGACGAGCCCCGGCAGGTGGGTGCTAAGGCCACACTGCCAGTTCCAGAATCAGTAACAGCCCCACCCGGAAAGCCCCACAGCGGACTCGAGTGCTGACACCTTTGGGCCGTGTGCCAAGTGCACATGAAACATGGCTGGCTCCAAGTTTGAACTTGGCGCTGCCTAAGGGTACTCGCTCTGTCTGCGCAGAAGCCCGAGTCTCCCTGCGACACTGCTGGCCAGGCTGGAGGGGCTCTCCTGGGCTTGAGCAGGGGGAGTGGGCAGAGACTGACCTACGGATAGGTTCCCGTGGGTCGGCCCGGCTCGGGGTCTCACCGTCTTCAGGAACGGTGTAATTTGCATACTCGGGGAAATAGTCTTCGATCTTCGATTTCCCTGCCAAGACTTTCTCGGCCAGCATGTCCTGTTTGTTCAGGAACAAGATGATGGAGATGGTCCGCAGCCACCTGCAAGGGGCAACAGACAGCATTTCACATCCAGGGTGTGTGGCGGCCTCAGTGTAGGGAACCCAGTCCACCGTCCTTTCCCAGGAGGCTGGGCTGGGTCTGTGGCGCCAGGGTCTCCACTGCATCCGAATGGCAGACGTGGGTCCCCACCGACTGAGTCAGCTCGTTCTGGACAACTCCGCCGGGCAGGGACGTTGAGGCACCAGGCTGAGGTCTGTGTCAGGTGTCAGGAGAAGGTGCAGTGTGGACGACCCTGCAGCCACAGGAGGGCGTGCTGGACCCTGGCTGGTCCTGCCCACCGCTCCGGCAGGCCCAGTCCTGACAGGCCAGATCTGTGACACTGACAGGGAGCTGGCCCAGGGCAGGTGCTCCCCGCTCATGGCACAGGCACTGTGAGTGGACCCGGAGATGGGCTGGGCAGGCCAGGCCCTTCCCTTCCCGGGGCTCAGCACTGGTCCATGGGCATAAAAGTGCCTTAAAATACCACCCTCCCCAAGCGGAGAGTGGCATGGTTTCCTCTGGTTATCAAACACACAGTCACAGCAAAAGGATAATCTTTAGTTCAGGTTAGTTAACCTTGAGATAATTAAGAGGATCATTACCTGTGGCCAGGCACGCTGGCGCGGTGGCTGTGCCCAAAGTGCCAGCCACGCAGGAAGCTGAGCAGGACGCTCGAAATTTCCAGGCCAGCCTGGGAAGTTTAGGACAACTCCATCTCAAAAGCACACTTGAAAAGGAGCTGGGGACGCAGCTCTGTGGCAGGGGTGGCCCCGACAGTGAGGCCTGGTGTAGGCAGAGTGCCACCCCCACAAGACTGCAGTGTTGGGCCATAAAAGAACACATGGAAAATAATGGAGCAAGTGTCACTGTGACCAGAGATGACCAGAGGCCGCTGCTCTCAGGGCGCTCTCCTGTCTCTCTGGTGCGTGTGGGATGGAGCCCAGGTCCCTCCTCGGCCAGGGTCACACTGCAGGTCCTTCTCTTGTGTAAGAATTTTAACGACTCTAAAGCGTTCTTTGGTTCACCTGCCCCTTCTCAGCCCTGTTTCTCTCCCGCCAACTGTCCTGTACCATAAACCCGAGGAGGGCCACTGAGCAGTGACGGGGAAGACGTCTCCGACAGCCAAGCACCCCGCAAGCTCAGCTGGCTTTCCTGCCCTCCTTGGTGGCATTTCTCGCTTCACAGACACTCTGGTTTCCGCGAGAAAGAGGCCCTGTGGCCGGTCCCCCTCGCTGACAGTCTCCGGTGACGCCATGGCCTTGGTGATCGCAGAGACCGGGCAGCCATCAGCAAATGCTGTACATTTCAAAAACCAAGCGAAACCAGCTCTGAACTCTGGATGCAATCTCAGGCTTTCAAAACGATTTAATTTTTTTTGAAAAGGTACCATGAGCAGGTGATCAAAGAACATCCCCCGTTTAAAATATGACAACACTGCGCATGGAGGGAGCGAGATGCTGGTCACGGCTTGGGGTTTATCAGCAGGGAAAGGAGGTGCTGCTTGGAGAATAAACACAAAACCGAGTGCTGCTAATAAACAGATCTGCAGCCCTCTGAGTGTGTGTGCGAATATATGTATACACATATATTTATTTTTTTGTGGTACTTGGGTTGGAATCCAGGGTGCCTGAGGCCTGAGCTACAACTCCAGCCCTTTTAACTTTTTTTTTGAGCCAGGATCTCACCAAGTTGCCCATCCTGGGCTCAAACTTGCGATCCTCCTGCCTCAGCCTCAGGCGGGGCGGGGATGACAGCCGTGTGCGCTACACCCAGCTCCGGGGCGCCCTCCACCCAGCGGCGGGCCGCCTGCCCCATCACCTGTTGTTCCAGATGCTCTCGAAAAGGTCCAGGGACTCTCTCAGTCTGTTGGTGTTGTTGTCCTCCCGGATGACCATGTTATAGCTGCTGCAGGCCGCGACGTAGATGATGGCGGTGACATCTTTGCGGGGGAGGACAGGGGCGGCTGAGTGAGCAGAGGCCGCACCGTGACAGGCGCCCCTGCCGCTTGGCCCTGTGTCGCGGGGCGCTGCTTGGGCGGGGAGGACTCGCCCCGAAAGACAGAGGGGAACTGGGGGCCTTAAATTCCATCTGTGCCATTCACACTCGGGGA